GAGAATCTGCATCTAACCAAGTCTCTGGGTAATGTTCATGCACATTAAAATTTAAGAAGCTCTGTTCTAGAAGACTATTTCCTAATAGGTCTTCATTTCTGATACTAAGAGAAGCTAAATATTTTATGCATACTTCAAAAGGCTTGTTAATAAATATTTAACCTTTATAACTAATTCTTCTAACATGTGTCTTCCTAATTATTAAAAGAGCAAAATGAACACCAGTCTCCATGGAATGGCATAGAGAACTAAGCCAGTACTAGCAGGAGTGGTGGTGGCTCATATACTCCTGACAGTTGGCACCTGAGCAATTAAGACCCAGACAGTACTAGAGTAGTTCACCCATTCCATTTCATATGCTGAAATATAATGAAATAAAATCGCTTTTATTACAATTGTGCTCATTCTTATTATGCTTTTCAAGTTATGTGACCTATTCGGGATTAACTGTAAATCAATCTATATTGTAGAAACTTAAAAAATAATTTAATGCACTATCATGTAAACAATATTTACCACAATGCCTGGATCTTGGCAGTTGCTAAATAAGTGTTAGGCCCCTATCATTATAAGGCGCAGCTGTGAAACCAATTTTTCTTTTTGCTTTTGGCCTGAAAATAAAGAAAAGTGATCAATGTTTTACTTTGCCTAGAATTTCTGGTTTGTTGGGACATTTCAGTGCAAATATTGTTTTTTAGCTGTTGGAATATTTCTAATATTTCCAAAGACCTTCCAAATTAAATAAGCTTCTATTTCAATAATTTATGCCATGATGACTGTTTAGTTTTGCAGTCTTGGAATTATATAATTCTTGGGATAGAAACTTGCCTAATTACCTTTATATCCTCATTTCCTTTAGGCAATTGTTAACATATATGTTAAACCTGAATTTTTAATTTTAATTAGTAACTTAGTTCTGTTTTAACATTATGTACAAGCTAATTATTTTATATAAAACTCATAATACAAATGGACATATCACCGGCTGTTATTAGGCATGATAAAAAAATTTCTATAATTTTCAAATCGTTTCTTGATTTGCTAATGTTTTAAATTCTGTGTAAATAATACCCTCATGGTATCTCCCACAAAATATCACTGAGTGACTTGTTTCTGAGACATAGTGAATGTTCCTAGGGAAAACTAAAGCTACTGAGGTAGCTGAGTATGTAGGCAGGTTTGAAAAGGACTGTTGGGTAAATTTCTTTTTCTGTGATAATTATGTTTCTTTCCTGTAGTTTGAAGCAACTAAACATGTAAGAAGCATATTTGACTTTTATGGGGTGTCTTAGAGGATAGTCATTATTTATCTGCATTAAACCAGACTGCATTCTTCTCTGTTGTTCCTTCCAACTATTTTTTTTTTTTAATAGTTAAGGACAAATGTGACAAAAAGAGTGCATGATTGTAAGTTGTAAACAACAATTCATATGCAAGAGTCCATGTGTTCAACAACAATGAGAACAACTTCTGGACTCCAGACCTGAGCACAGTCATCCTCAGTATGCTGAAGAATCTCTCTCCACTTTACTAGTCTGTTTGTTAAATCCATTAATTGCATTTGAAACTCTGTCTGCGTCAGTAGCCTTTACTCATTAACTTCTCTGCCCAAACCAGTATGTCAACTTAGGTTTTACTACAACAGTGAAGGACTCTGCTGAATCAATCAAAGGGATCATGAGGATAGACCCTAGTAGAGCTGGATACTGCCAATGGCTATGCCTTCACTAGAGTGAGCAGGAAAAAAAAAATCAATAAAGAAGGAAGTTTTGGAAAACAGAAAACAAACATGATAAGAACTTTGGCTTTGATAATCCCTCAAAGATTGTTTTGGTCATGTAGCCACTCCTATGTGCTGTGACTCAAGGGCACAAAATTGTTGATACCGTTTCTAAGAAAATGATAAAGACTGAGGTGTCCTTTTCCCCTTCTTCTATTAATATTATAGTCTGAATTTTTTATCAAACTAATATCACTATGGGAAGAACAGAGGTTCTTGATTAATGGACAAGATACAAGGCAATTTGTTTTATGACTCTTTGTGAGATGAAGGCACATTAGTGAAAGAGAGGTAGTAGGGATCCTACAGACTGGCCTCCAGAAACAAGGAAACAGAATATAGACAACATACGTGCGAAGTTCGCACTATGAAGGGAGGATAATAAGGACAAACTAAAAAAGATAACAAACCAAGCATTTTAGGGGGTTGCCTTGCATGTTGGGACACAAATTAGAGGAAGAACAAGTTTGGAACACTATAATATTAATTATCATAACAATGCCAGAAAGGTAATTTGAAACCAAAGCAATCTTATCATTGAATTTATACTAATTCATCATTTTATCTACATGAATAGAGAAAGACTCATACATGCTTCCAAATATTGAGTCTGAGACAGTTAAGAAATTTAACTCCCAGAGGTGGGTAGTATGGTAAAGTAAACTTTTAGACAAGAAAACAAAATGGACAATAAATTGTAAGCCTTAAATTGCTCTTTTCAAGGCCATGTTTGAACTTTTGACTCTGGTAAATTCCTCAAATATTTGAAGGACTTTACAATGTAAACACAATGGGACCAAAGCTTAAGATTTTATGGAAGGTTTAATCATGAGAACACATACATTGTCTTTAAAATGGTACCCGGTTGCTATAGCTTGCATACTGAATGTTCCCCAAAGTTTCAGGTAGTAAAGGCTTGATCTCCAGGGTAGTGCTATTGGGAGGCAGGGAAACCTTTAGGAGGTAGGGCCATTTGGGAAGGTCTTTAGGTCATTGGGAGCATACCTTTGAATAGGATTGTGACATTTCCAATCCTTTCTTTCTTTTGCTTCCTCGCTCAGGATATAATTGCTTTGATCTACCACACACTCGTGTTATGATGTGGTGTCCTTGTAAGAGGACCAAAGTCAAAGACTGCCTTAATTTGGACTAGATCTCTAGAACTTATCTCTTTATAAGTTACTTATTTCAGGTATTTCATGATAGTGCAAGAAAGCTAATACATAGGTAAATAGTAAGTGCTCAATAAATGTTAATTATTATCATATCTTTAAATATTTTCATTGTATAAAAGGCAGTAGTACTACATTGTGTCCTCCTATTATTCCTCTTTAAAGCAAGTAAGCCTCCTTGCATGGTGTAGAATCTTTCCCAGAGAGTCCTAAAATGATCCAGTCCTGAGGCTTTCCAACTGTTCCCAAGAATATAATCAGTGCCTCCAGTATAGGAGCTCTCTGTATAGTGTTCATGGCTCTCTAAGCTTTGCTAGCCCTCATAGCTTCATATAAGAATCCATAGAATTATCTTTGGATAACAGTCCTCAGGTTTTTGTACATTTACATTTCCAAGAAAATATTAAATATTTCTTCTTAATTCTCCAATCATTTGTATGAATTTCTTATAATTTTAAAATAATTTTCTTTTAGAATAGTGTAAATTTAGCTGTGAAGTAGGGCTAAGCCAAGAAAGTGAAACTTTGTCTTCTCTAGAGCTCACATCTCTCAAGTATTACTCATGCTCTTACCTTTTATTTGAAATGTTATAATTTATAAGTACACGTCCTACTAGGAAAGTAACCAGATTATCCAGAATGATTTATAGAATTATGTTTGTAATAGCTTTATGGATGTCATTTTGACTTGAAGCAACACAAAAAATGAGAAATTACTCTATTTTTTCAGAACTTGTAAAGAAGGAGTTCTCTAAATGTCTCCTGGCAGCAGTGGCTTAAGGCCCATGTGACAGAGATTTTTAGAGACATGAGGAACAATGCTCAGAACCAGACACTGATTTAGTCACAGATACCTCCAAACTTGACTCCCCAAATACCACTGGGGCTTTAAGAGAACAGGGTGGGAGGCGGTGGAGAATTCCTACTCTGAAATCTCCACACTAACTGAAACCAAGCAGGCAATTTAAGAAAGCCTCTCTATTTTTGGACATGAGTAGTTCATATTGCTTTCTAATATTGATCAGGTTTCTTAAATTTAATAATTTCACTCAAACTCTTCAAGAATCATTAATGATCTTTTCCTAGAGTTTTAAAAGTAAAGTCACTTAGCTAAGTTGCTCCAAAGATTTCTGTTAGCAGTTTATAATTGCCATTAAGGAATAAGATATCAGCTGATATTAAATCATACTGTTCTTGAATGAAATATTGTCTTGGATTGCTTGCAGGCATCAATCCATCAATATTCTGTGTGACAGATGATCAACACTCCACTGAAATAATTTGTTTTTTCCTTTGCACACAGCTAGAATATACGGCCCAAAATGTGATCCGTGAGATCAAGTTCATAACTGGAACATGAGCAGAAGTGAAGTTTGCCATTTCTGTGCTACAGGTTTTAAAAGAGTAACTACGCCTCCTCCATGTTCTTTTCCTCTTTCTGCTAGAGAGAAAGGACTCCACCAATTTCAGAATAGCCTGGAAGGCTCAATGTTGAAGATGTAGACCTGTCACCCAAGTTTCACAAATGACTACATAGAGTGCCCTGCAACAAGGATCTTGTCATGGGCTTTTACATGGGAGAGAAGTAAGCACATACAATATATAAACTCTGATATGTTTGGGGTTTATTTATTAGAGAAGTTTAGCACGTCACTATATATATATAATACTTTATAATTATATACTTTTATTAAAATAACAGAATAGAGATAGTTTAACTTCATTTCAGTACTTTCTACTTTGTCAAAGTTACTTTTACTTGCCTTATTGCTTAGGAGTATCACAATAAGCTTTAAAAAATAGTAAACCTGGGGAAAATTTATAATTTTTTAAAAATACAGTGCTAAAATGAAATAAAAATATGAAACTTAAAATAAGCGTATAGTTCAAATACTTATTATTATGCTGTAGAAATATCCGTAGAAATATAAAAATACAAAAATTTAAAGTCTTAATTTCAAACCTGAGTGAATAAATATACTTTAAAGATCTACTTGCATAGTCAAATTAGCAATAAGAAAACATAACTCTTAATATAATTGTCCTTACCTGCTAAAGATGACATATTGATAATGATGCCACCTTCACCTCCATTTTGCTTGCTCATGTAATCCAAACCAAGATAGGTTCCACTGATAACAGAAACCTAATCAAGAGGGATAAAAGGAAAAAGCATTATAGCCACTAGCCTTTATTGTATACAAAGTTGTTATGTTTTCATACATCCAGTGAGGTTTCTGCAAGCGCTGTCAATAAAAGAGGTTCTGTTTATTTGTTTTAAAGGTACTTATTGATCCCTCTTTTGTTTGCCTAACAGTTTTGTAGTCCATCATGTTTCTACAGAACTTTATTTCACTTAGTTGCCCAGTATGAAATTTTATTATAAAGATTGGATTCAATAGGGTTTTGTAACTTTAACTCAATTTCAGTATCTTTTGAGAATTCTATGCTTTCTTTTTCTTTTATTAATAGTGGCTACAAAATTTATTTACCTTCTCTCTCTTTGGTTCTCATATCCAAGTATGAGATATGCCCATTCATCTGCACATTCAATTCTCTTGGACCTTAGAATATAGGATAGTGGCTACTCTTGATTTACTATAATTTTCATTTTCTCCTCTTTTCTTTTGAATAAAATCCCATTTGTTCTTGTATCTACATTGTCTTCATGCACAGTAGGAGGAGTTAGCACTGGGGCACATGTCTATAACTTGATTGCAAGTTTGAGGTTGGCCTCAGCAATTTAGCAAGATCATATTTCAAAATAAAATAAAGGTCTGGGGATGTAGCTTAGTAGTAGAGCACCCCTGGGTTCAATCCCAGTATTATCACCACTATAACAACAATAACAACAACACCCCAAAATAGTAGAAGATGATCTCTCCAGCTTCAGTGTATAAGCTGATTAATCTAATTCAGTCACAGAAGTCCCATTCTTCCTGACAATGGCTGGTTTGAGACTGCATATAACCCAATTCTCAACAGAGAGACCTGAGTGGCTGTCAGCTGGAGGTGGGGATGGGAGAGAGGGGGTGGTGAAGGATAGGATGCTGCGGGGAAATTTTTTGTTGTTCTTAAAATTGGGAAGAAATACTTACATTACTCCCTATGCATTGCTTGTATATGTGTGATGAATGGAACAGACAGTCATACTGCTAGCATCAGGAAAAAGAAGCTAAGATAAAAGATGGCAGGTGGGTGAGAAGAAAAGACACTGGGTCCTAACAATATCACTGATGTTCAGTATTAAATAATCCTGAACTCTTGGGTTGTGTGAAATCACATCATTGTTTTGTCTAGTTTGAGCAGAGAGTTTCTGTTACTTGGACACATGGTCTTCAGTAATGTTTATACTTAATTTTATTCAACACTGCTTATAGCTATCTTCTTGGTAGTTTACTAATTAGCTACTTACCTCCACCTGTAGGAATTCTTCCTGCTTTTATTCTACTATTTAAGAATTCACTATTACCAGAAATGACCTGTGATTTAAAACTGATATTTGAAGCCTTATTTATTTATTTATTTATTTATTTATTTAGATCTAGGAATCCTTCTGTCTTCAAGCTCAGACTTTTAAAAAGTGAAAATTCTCTTTGACATCTCAATTTCTATTTTTCCGTCCTTTACAATACTTCAAAGAAAATGATTTAGTAGGTAATGAGTCTGAAACTGAGGGCACGTATTTGTGTTTACCTTCTTTTTATTTTAAAAGGTCCTTTTGGAGTTTTCTTGACAAGTATTCAGAAATGCCTCTCCTTCCTAAAAGTAGTTCTAGAACAGAAAACCCAATTGAAGATTCTATTCACTTAAGCTATGTGTCAGTTTGAGATGAAGTGGGCTTAGGGAAAATGAATAAAATCTTTCACATGATTCCTTTGAACAGTAAATAGAAGGCAAAGTTTATATAAGAAGGAAAAAATGTAGACGGCTAAAATTACTGAAGTCAGATTCTGTTAGTTTCTGCCCAAGTCTTCAGCATGTCTGAACAGAATTTCTGTTTACATGCATTGGCACTAGGCTTTTATTACCAAGTATTCACAGCCTTACTCCATGATTTTGTGTTTTCAACATAAAAATGCAGCCAGATAAAAAAATTTGGAAAGATTTAAACTTTATTTTACATTTTTTTGAAACAGAATTTATTTTTACCTCTTTGGTAGAGGAGAACAAGAGACTATTTTTCTCTTATCATTTGAAGAACTGAATCTACAAGACATGTCTAAATCTTTTGGTTGTGATATTTTTCACCTCTTTTTGTTTACAATAACACTCTTTTCTCTTACCCCAGATCATACACATGTACACACACGTACATATGTACACATGTGTGCACACACACAAGGAATTGTTAGAATACCATAGAATAAAATATTTTTGTTAAGAAATGTTTTTTTTTGTCCTTGTGCAATGTTTATATATCATATAGATTGGGTCATTACAATATCACACATCTAGAAAAAAATTACAGTCATTTTCAGATACAAACACACAAAGTAACTTGAATCTATGGCATCATTTTAGTCCACTTTGTGAAGGTAGTTAAAATTCTGCACTTGACTCTTAAAGAAAATATTATATTTAATTTCACATAGAGAGTAAAAAATTCTTTAATTATTGGCAAAACAATTAAATCAACATGTTTACTCTATGCTTTTGGTTAATGAGATAACTTTTAGCTGTAATACTGAAATTTCATTGCTTTGAATTCCAAATCTTGTTTTTTCCCCCACTAACTATAGCATTCTATAAATTAAAATCACTCTCATAAATTCCCTTACACTGGGAATAATTTTCTAGTAGTAAAGATAAGTGGCCAAATGGTAACAGACTATTTATTGAACTCTCTTGTCAAGTATCATGTCTTCCTATGATACACAGATGTGCTCATGGGCACGTGTGTGTGCATACACACACACACACACACACACACACTTTTTTTCCACTACTGATATTTTTAATCTGTCATTTCTTCATTTCCATTTCCCCTATCTCATCTCCTTCCACTGCGTAGTTCCTCTTAGTTTATTTATAATTTTGCACTGTACTTTACTTGGAAAATATTCAGACATCTAAATCATGCGGCTTTGATTTTCAGAATCCTTGTATTTTGTCCAGTCCAGTTCTCAAACAATATTAATAAAGATGATCATTATTTCCTGAAAACCATTTTCATCCTTTTTTTAACTGTTCAAATTTTCCCATTTCTTTCTTATTTTAGCACTAAACTTTACTCTGTTCCTTCTTGCTACTTATAATTTAGCAAACTTGTCCCAAGATAGGTCAAATGCATATTTCAATATTACAGAGTAGCAATCGCAGGAAATAAATACTAATTTAATTTGCAATCAACTGTGTTAAGAAAAGGGAGCAGCACATGTAAGAATAATGTTCCTATCCATTTCCTCAACTACTCATTAGAGGAGGGCAGAGGAAGCTCTCATAAAACTCAGATAGTGAGAAAATGTATGTTTTGATATCTGAAGGGGAACACAATTTGCTGAGTAAATATTATGCAGTAGCATGGTGCTAGATGCTTCACAAAAACTATGGTCTATTTAAGCTTAGCCATCTTCAGAGGTAAGGAGCTTATCTTCCCCCTTTTACAAACTGGGGAATTCTATATCAGAGAAATTAAGTAACAGTTTTTAAGGTTCAGGACTGAACTTTAGTTTTGACTAATTCCAAATTCATATCTTTTCCACAGCAAATCTTTAAGCAAAACTAGTTTAGTTTGAGAGGCATGAGGAATCACCAGCAACAGCCATTTATTTTGTTTAATTTTTACTTGGATATGCTAAAGTACTCAATATATGTTCATTATAGGTCCAAACTAGATTATAATTTCCACCTGAATGGGGCTGAATTATTTTGTTTCATTAAAGTTTCAAAAAGTTAAAAATTACATTATAGAATTACAATATTACACAATCACCAAAACTCAAAGTTAATTTTACCTCTGCCAGAGTGACTTTTAATAGCTTTGCAAAGGCTCATTTTTTTTTCCTGAACATTCCTTGAGAATTCTGAGCAGTTATAAAGAACACCGCTGCTTCTAGCTTCAGTTTGAGGAGGAAGCATAGAACAGTCTAGTGAAACAAGACTGGGAAGAGGTTTAGTGTATCTTTCTTGTGGGAAGAGTAGCAGAATGAAGAATAAGGAATGGGTAAGTTTGGTAAGTAATGAAAGTGGAAGGACAGATGACACTGTTTGGCAGCACTGATCTATTAGGAAATCACCTAAATATTGTACTAAAACAGGGAAATGAATATCCATGCACATAAGATATATAATGGCCGTTTATCTAATAAATAGTAATTGAACTTCTACTCTGTGAGGACACAAAACAATAGTTCTTTACCTTATAAGAGTTTGCGGTTTTTACTAGCATAAATTACATATGTATTAAAAGAATTTTAATAAAATTTGTAAATTTTATTAACATATATAAATGTTAAAAATATTTGTCCCATGGGATCATAGAAATATGTTGTATAAGATTTCAGGAGAGGGAGAGATATGGAGTAGGGGGGTATACCTCAATGTAAGTATGTTTAACATATTCAATTCCCTGGATTCCATCTTCCACTAAAAAAAAAAAAAAAAAAAAAAAAGCCAAGGAAAGATATGTGGAAAGATATGAGGAAAACTCCATGTTATGCTCAGACATGGGAATTAACATGGAAAAACATGCAAAAGAACAAACATGAACATAAGACCAGGGAGGCACAAAAACATACAAGCAAAGATTACATAACTACACACAAATGTTTGCATTACTCTGAGATAATAAAGTTGAAAAAAAGAAGGATTCTTTAGACTCTGATTTACGTTGGCAATGGTTGTATATAGCAGGGGAAGTAACAAATTTTGAAGCTATGAGTAGTAAAGGTTATGCCTTGTAAGTAAAATTAACTAAATGCCATCAATCACTAAAGTTAAGCAAAGAACTTGTCTATGTCAGAAGAGTCCCAAGGAAATTTGGGACTAGCTTAATTTCGATGGGGAAGAATCCAGGAGAGTTAGTTGTAGCCAAAGAGATCACAATAAAAATTCCTGGTCTGTTAATTTCCTATTTACAGATGATGTAGGTACTTTCCAGCTTAGAGCAGGTGCTTATTCATTCTTACAGACTTCATTAGAGCAAATACGCTCTCTTAGCTGGATGAATACAAATCATTTGAACCCAGATCTTTGTGATAACTACCTCACTATTTTCATGTTTCTCTCTTTAACTCTCATCATTGCACACTGTTTTTGGCTCAGAAAAAAAAAAAAAAAAACCCAGGAGGTGTTCATTATGAATGCACTGTAAATAGGATCTTTATACTCTGATAACCTCTATTTAGAATAATATAGTGATTACTGATAAAACTATTAAAAGTATAAGTAGTAAGGCTGAAGGGAGAATAATATTGCATATTTTTGTGATTTTTCACTGGGATAGCTAGATTTAAAAAAATTCGTGTCATTTTATGTGGTTTGGGAAAGTGGCATAAGTTTATAAATCATTATTTAAAATTGCTGTGGTTCTTAACTGGCTATATATCCAAAATTTTTGTTTCATCAGGAAGCAAAGGATGTGAAGAATTATGGTTTTTAATGAGCCAGGGGTAGCAATTAAAGATTTAAAAAGTATGATACTTTTAGCAACAAAAAGTGATTAAAGCTATCCAGTGGATTTAGGAAAGAAATGAAAACATTAAAAAAAGTACATATTAAAGTACAAAAGAGAAAAGTAAAAACAAATATAAATGGCTTAAATTCACAAACATAAAAATTCATTCCTAGATGCAATTTAAAAAATAAGATCTCACAATATAATAGCAGCAAGAGACAGATGTAATATAAATGTTACTTTTATCTGCAAAATAAAGGAATATTAAAAGAGATATTTAACCAAATGTGAATCAAAAGGAAATCATGAGATACTAAATTTTACATCTGGAAATATAGAACAGATGTAAAATATTAGACAGCAAATTGAGGTATAACCTTTTAAACACAAATCAAAGATTAATAAATTATAATCACTAGCAATTAGCAATTTAGGCTCTGTATATTATGAGTTTTTATAATATATATAGTCTAAACTGACAGAATTACTTAAAGAAGTAGGCAAACTGACATTTGTCATTTGAAATATTTGTTCAGAGACTGACAGATCCAGGAGATAAAAATTAGCCAAAGCATAGTTGAACCAAATAGAAACACTATACAAAAAGAAAATTATTAGTTACTATTATTTACAAGCAGGGACATAAATATTAAATTAAATTTAAACTAAGAAAATTGTTAGTTAGCAAGTTGTTTCTGTAAAGCATCAAGTAGTAAATATTTTAGTCCTTGCAAATCATAGGTCTCTGTCTTAATACTCAACTCTTACATTAAAGGATGAAAGTAGCCATTGACAATACATAACCCGAATAACTGTGGCTGTGTTCCAATTAAACTTTATAGATGCTGAAATTTGAATTTCATATGCTCATGTATTTCATATTATTATTTTTAACCATTTAAAAATCATTTTTCTCTTGAAGGTCATATAAAAACAAGATGGCAGGCCATTTGGGTTGTCGATTGGAGTATGCCAACCCCTGAGTTAAACCAGCAACTTTATTTTTTCCTATTTCCTGCTAATATCTTAAGACAAACTTATTTTCTTAATTATGCCTCTAATGTCTTCCTATTTGTAAAAGGAAGCTTTCTGTAACTTCCAATTTTCTATGTTGCAGGTCATTGTTTTGTTTCTCTGAATGTAACATGTTTTATTTTGTCCATAAGCATCATGTCATTAAATAGTTTCAGGCAATCAACATGGCTAAGATAGCTTACCAAATTAATCTGCAGAGTTTTTTCCCAGTTTTTCTCATTATTCACTCCAGCATTATTGACCAAAATGTCCAATCTTCCAAAATGGTCTACGACTTTTCTGAAAGTATCTAAAAAAAGATATAGATATTTTTTATTTTCCATAAACACACTTAAATCAGACCCAATGCCATGAAATGAATTTTTCATTTATCCACCCTCGTAGAAAATTATACTCATAAGCTATGACTTAATTCCTTATTGGTTGTATGATAGACAGACCAGCAGTATCAGTTAGCTTTACCTGGAAGTTTATTAGAAATGCAGAATTTTGTGGACACCATATACCTACTGAGTCAGTATTTTACTTTAACATATTCTTAGATGAATTATATGCACACTAAAATTCTATAAGTGGTAACTTAATGGAATAAGTTTTAGAGAATCAAGCATCCTAAGCTAAGAACTCTTTGAAGTCAGTTTTGACAGATAGCATCGCTGTATTCCTAAGAAGTTATTGCAGCTCCATGGCGTAGACTATAATAGACATCCTTTTAAAATAAGGCATATTATATTTATAATACGTTATATTAATACCAGTTTTCTTATTTTCCAAATCCATTATGATAGTTTTAGGGAGTTTTGATATCCTAGTAAATGAAAGTGTCCTTCTCATTCAGTTGATTCCATTAGGTTAATAAAACCTCCACCATGCATACTGTTTAAGTTTTTCTTTCTCATTTTAATACTACTTTATATTATTAGTTTGTATAAAAGTATATGTAACCAGGGTAAATCTGCATAGATTCTAAGGCCTGAATGCTACTCATTACATCATCTAACCAAATATCCAATTCTTGAAAAAGCTCTTTACCAGTCCAAACTAGGCTTTACCACCTTAGTACTGAGAAATTCATTATTTCTCAAAGCAGACTTTTATGTAGCTCTATTGATTTAAACTGCCTCTGTAGGCCTCCTACCATTCATTCTAGTTCTATTACTTAAGACTATAGATAACATTTGTGGTTGTTCTTCTCATATGTCTAGACTAACATATGAGTTCCTTTCAAAAAGTAGATCATCACAAGCTTTATTTTGATTGAAACCAATTCTTAGAATTAACAACTACCAAACATTTGGGAAGACATGGGTCAGTCAGTTCCTCTATGAATAAATTACTTTGCAAGTTAATTGCTAAAGACATTGTAGACTTTCTAATACAAGCCCTTTTATACTCACTAAACTAGAATGGAAAACAACAACAAAAATAAATCAAAACTTTTTCATAGAACTTCAACTGTTTCTTAAGACCTCAAATTAGATTCAGAAGAGGTCATCCAGGAAATATTATTTCTTTATCTTCCCCCTTTCTTGCTAAGTATGTTCTATTCTTTGTTATTCTACAGACACAGCCCCACTTTATGGGAAATTAGGTTGTTAATGTGTGTGTCTATTTTTCCTTAATTTGCTTTCTTCATTCTAGTCTCCAGTAAATTCCTTATACTCTGCTTTCACCAATGTATAATTCATCATATTATTTCTGACATCACACTGAGTTCTGGGCTCAAGTGACTTATATTTTATATGCTATGGTACTTTGTATAATTTTACCTAAACTCTGTGTTGCAATCTGTTAATTTATAAAATAAGTTATGTTTATATCAATTCCCCAAATCTTCAGCTCTGCATTTAAACATTTTAATGTGTCTAAACAGTTTTAAAAGCTGTAGGCAATGTTAAGTTTTGAAACTGACAGAATCAGTGCTATAATTTCCTTTGATACAAATAAATGATCATGTCCAGACAACATGTAGATTTCTTGGTACAAACATGCCTCCTCCAGTCAATTATTATGTCGTTTCCTCCTCAATCATTTATCCTGAAGGCATGTATTTACAGCCTAGGTACTAGTTTTAAATACTGGGAAACAAAACAATTGAGGTTAAACATAATGTGTGAAACCACATAACTTGAGACAGAAATGGCTTTCAGATTATCTATATTGTTTCCTATTCTACCAGCATGAATGCTGGGATTTGACATGACTCTATCCTTGAATCAAAATATAATGTGCAATCAACACAATTATCTTCTGGCAAAATATGTTCTACTAGCACTGTGTTTATAGACCTGTTCTACTCATGCCTGTAATCTATATTATAGGTCTTTATTATTATTTTCAGATTTTGATGATAAAATTTCCTTTAAAACTATTTTCCTTAACTTTAGGTACACTTTCTTTAATACAGCAGTCCATTTCCATTCTTATAGAATATACCAAAATTTTAAAAGGAATTCACTCTTTGGTGTTCCTTTTAGTAGGAACATGAATGAATTTTCTGGAAGCTTTCTGACCACTGGATTAAAAATATGCCTAGTAATTGCTCAGGATCTTTAAATAAAACTTTGTGAAATACAAATATTTTATCTTTCTATTTTTTTCCTCCAGGAATTTTTTTTTTCATGCAAATCTAGCATTCTATACAATGGAAGCTGTTTGTTTAGTGTCTATACTAATATTATCCCTGATATTTCACAAATAGATAAACAGAAAACATTGATGAAAAGCTGATAGAGACCTTTCTTCTGCAACTCTAACATTGTGTTGTTATTAGTAAGTACCACTTCATGAGGGTGGGGGGACAAAATGCCTGGTTAAAAGCATCTAGCACATCTGTAACCATGATTCTAGAATTTGTGTTCTAACAGGTTTAAAGAAAAAAAAAGTGACATTTGATTGTCATTGAACTTCACATCTTCCAGCTCTCTAAGAGAAGTTGTTTGCCACAGTTCCTGATTTTAACTTCGAAATTCTGTCTGCAATTTCAATTATTTAATAATTACTGTAGCAGAGCTGTGTTTGGATATACAAAGAAGTTTTGATTACATTATGCGCTGCCAAATGACTAAACTAAAAAGATTTCTCAAGCCATTTTGCCTTTCCTTGGTTTTTATGGCTATTGGGTTGTCAATAGGAAACATAACAGTCTAACCCACATTTTGGAGCTTGCTGCACTAGGTAGCCAGACGGGCTGGCCCTCTGCCTTGGCTGGCTCTCTTGCCCGCGTTGCCTTCAGGTTGTTGCTTGTTCAGGGAGTGTTCCCAGTTGATGGATTGATTCCCCTGACTTACCTCTCAGTTGTTCCTGGTCAGCCACATCACACTTGATGAAGAGAGTCTTCTGAGGTTCAAACTGCTCGTCTAGGGCAGCTTTACAGTCCATACCTGCTTCAAGATTCCAATCCACCAGCGCTACCTATAAACAAGAGGAGAGGCATCAAGGTCCTGCGCAGCTCATGAAATAGACCAAATAAATAAGACGCTCCTCTCTTAGACCTGAAATAAGGCAGTTAAAGTTCGGATTCTTTACTGGTAGCTTTCGAGGTCTGCTCAAGGGTCTCAGCCTGAGCAGCTTTTGGAAATGGCAAGGCATGCACGCCCGGTGCTCCTCGAGATCTTCCCTGGCGTCCCCCAGGCGGTGGGCGAACCTTGGAGTGGGCAGAGAAGTTTCAGCGGCCCGGAGAGGCGCTTACCTTGGCGCCCTTGTGCAGCAGTGCCTCTGCAAAGGCTCTGCCTATTCCCTGCGCTGCGCCGGTCACCAGCGCCACTTTGCCGTTCACATGCATGGTGTGGTCGCAGCTGCAGAGGGCGGTGGGCGAGCTCCGTGTCTCTGCGCGGCCGCAGCTTTTATGGCCCCCTGCGCGCTCGCGTGCTGCCTGGCCCCGCGGTCTCCTGCCAGTGGGCGGGGATGAAACTGTCAAGCCAGCGCCGGGGAACCCGCACTGTGTCACCTGCCCCTGAGCACTCCCGGGCTCCGAGCTTCGTGATCTTTTCCCTCCAGACTTGCAGACTCCGCGGATCCTGGGTCAGAGCCTCCCCCCAGTCTCTGCACGAGTGGAGGAAGACCAGAAAAGTTATTTCTCAAAGAGAGTTTCCTCCAGTGTCCTAAAGACCAACCCCAGAGAAGAGAGAGCTAGACTTGGGAGCTTAAATTACTCTCCGGCTTCCCAACAAACTAAAACAAGCAGAAGAGCAAAATTTTGCTCTTTTGTCTCTTATGTTTTTGTGTGAGTTCCGTTTCATGACCATTAGGGTGGAGGTGAGGGAAAGAAGATATAACTAACAACGTGGTTTTTAATTTTTTTTTTTTTTACTTGCGTTTTTGACAATTTGTGCAGATAATGGAAATAAGTCAATAGAACTCTGAAAACCTTGACTTCTATTATTTCAAGCCTGGAACTTTAAGAATCCTGTTAGCATTTGTGTTTTGGATCACAGTCAATTGTTCGTCATCTTAAGTGCACCACAAGAACTGTCATCATCTACTCGCACAGAGCTTCTGAGTCGCTGGCGAAGTTTTGCTTTAATGGAATGAATGCTTACTCGCTGAATCACACTGGCTTTTAAAATACAGGACAGAGGTTCTTTGCCCTCCAGGAACTTAAGTCCTAGCTTTGTGAGAGATGGATTCACCTAGCGCTAGTCTGCTAATTGGTCTCTTTCTTAGGTTAATAGTGGCAAACTTCAATTTTAATTTTGCCAGTTGTATTCATAGGCATTTATTTTCAGGAAAAAAAAGGAAAGAAGGGGGAAGGGAGGGCGGGAAAGAAAAGCTCTTGAGGAAAGAGATGGGAGTTAGGCAAAAGACTAACAGTGAAAGGAATCCTTTAAATATGTTCTTTGCCTGCTTGCAGGAGACCTTGGGGAAGGCCAGTCAATTAAGGAAGGGGAAGTGTTTGGGGAAGGCTTTGTAAAATACATATTGTTGGCAAGCTACTGAAGGAGAAGTCTTCAAAGCTGATTTGAAATTGGGTCTCCAAAAAATGTTGAGAAATTTTAAGACAGGAAGATATTTATATTCTAGCATAATAAGTTAAACTGTAATATAAAGGGCCCTCCCTCCCAGAGAGAGAGAGAGAGAAACAAATGAAAATCCATCACCTCTAATAACACACATAGAGCAAAAAAGAAAAGGACCAGTTCCTTCTGGTGAAAGAGACAGAAAAGGAACTGCTGGAATGACACAGGAGTGTGGAGACCTGAGTTTTGTAGCACTGATAGGGAGAAATAGTTTTGAGAAGAAAAAGTGGTTAATAATGCAAGGTACTTTGATGAATACAAGGGGAAAATGGCAAAATATTTTGAATTTGCCAACACAATAATTATTGTAAATTTAGTAAGCACAGAACCAAAAGTCTGAAACTTAAAGAGAAAGGGCTGTTGATAATATCCATATTGCTATGGATTCAAGACTAACATTATGGGGAAGGAAATAGATTGCATAATTGAAAAGACTAGAGGGCAAATAAATAGGTTACCTCTCTCTTTTTAAGAAAGGACTGGAGGATTCATACTAAAAAATTAAAAGACTGGAATTTAAGATCAGTGATAACTGAATGAATGAGAAACAGTTTGGGGGAAGGTAGTAGAAAAAAGAATTCAGACAGAAGGGGTTTGGATATTGTCCCTGCTACTGACCAACTGTGTGACTTGGCAAGTTGCTTCAACTCTCTGTGCTCAAATTATTTATTAGTAAAGTAACATTTGGGTAATGTTTATAAAGCATTGTTACAGTGCCTGGCACAGAGTAATAACACAATAAATATTAGTCCTAACTAATTGTTTCTGGGTTATTAATAATTCATACATGTGAGATTGAGAAAAATGTGAGCAGCAGTTTCTTTAGTACACTGGAAGGACTGGGATCTAGGGCAGAGTTAGTTTATTGTGGTCCCTTTCTTTCTGAATTTCCATTACTAACTGTTCAGACTGTTATAATTTTTCCTGTGATAGCAAGAGCAGTTAGTCTCCTGAATTATTCTTTGCCTCCAAGTTTCTTAAATTCAATTCAGCTTTCATATTCATTCCGGGAAAGTCTAAAACAGATCTGAACATGTTTAGCCATTCTCATGATTACAATTCTTAAATCTCTAAACTCCAGGGCATTGCATAGGAGACATTATATGCCCCATATCTTTCTTGTAGTCCCTCTTTTATTTCCATTCTAGGAGGCAATATCAGTTACAACAAATCCCTCTCACTCTACTTTAGGCCTTTGCCACACAAAACCTGCTTACCTGAGTATTCTTCCTCTCTTACCTTCTCCACCTGTTTCCCTATTGAGCTATCAAATTTTTACTGTGGGAACACCAATCACAGTGATGTAATTCTCTTATAATGTCTGAATGCTTTCACAGAGGGTTGTCTTTTTCTTTGAATATCTTCCAGTAGCCAGTTCAGTGAGCCTGTGTGCTCAATACATGTTAAATGAAGAAATGTTTGGATAAGCATACGTTTAAGAGAAGATAAAACATGTTAACTAGATGATGAGATTTCCCATATACTGTAATCATCTTTTATATTAAGATTAGAAAAAAATACATTGTTATGACATTTTTGAAGAATGTTTCAAAATTTATTGTATTTTATATTAAGGGTAACTTTTGAGTTAAAAATATCTACAAAACATTATGTATTTTAAAAACAAGAAGAATGGCACTCTTTACCTAGTAAATATATTCCCCAGCCTTGTGACTTTTTTGAGGGGAGGGAATGGGTACAAGGGATTGAACTCAGGAGCGCTCAGCCACTGAGCTATATCCCTACCCCCCCCCCCTTTTTTTGTATTTTATTTAGAGACAGAGTCTCACTTATTTGTATAGCACCTGGCTGTTGATGAGGCTGGCTTTGATCCTCCTGCCTCAGCCTCCTGGGCCATTGGGATTACAGGTGTGCACCACTGAGCTTGACCATTATGATTTTTAATATGCATTTCTTAGTTTTATGGTCATATAATTATTTAATTTACATTATCTATTTATTTCTATCAACACAGTAATTCATCATTAAAATGTAATTTATAGTTAAAATTAAGTTCAAACTGAGACCATTCATCATTCAGATGATTTTTATGAAACCATTACTGTTTATAGAATATATTTGATTTAGTTTTTTGGACAAAGTTCTCTTAAATTTAAAGCAAATTAAATGATGCAAAATTAAAGGATTGATTATTCTCTGAAAATAATTACAAATACTAGGTATTGGACATTTACTAGGGACAGATTATAAGCACAACCTCAGGAATCAGGCTGCCTGAGTCTGAATATAGCTCCAACACCTATTACTTGTATGATCTTGGGCAAGTTACTCAACATCTCTGAGTTTCAATTACTTCATTGGTAAAATCATCATCATAATAGAGCCTATTTCATAAAGTTGTTGTGAGGACTATACTGAGTTAAATAAATACAATTCAAGGACTAAAACTAGTGATTGGCACAAAACAAATGTTATATAAATGCTATTATCATTAAGCACTACACATATATAATTGCATTTATTATTTGTAACCAAACTATTAGGTAGTCATTATTGTGGTCATTTGACAGATGAGGAAAACAGGTTTGGGGAGTCTGGAAAGTTTGGTCAAGGTCACTTATCTAGAAAATTGAAGGAGGAGACTTGACTCAAGGTGTGGTTGACTCCTAAGTATGATGGCTTTTTTTTTAATTAAACTTTTTATTTTGATGTAATTGTTCCTGAGAAGTACTTTTAGTCATGTCGGAATATTGATTTAAGAATATAAGTCAGCGGATTTAAATTCAAATCAGAATTCTTTAATCTTATATATGTTCTCTCATACACACAATGGGTTGCTGGCTCAATTTAGACCTGCTAACAAGCCCAATCTTAACTTGATTTGCTCTATATCCCATGTCCAATGGTGAGCACAGGCATCCCAAAATGTCCTACTAATAAGCTCAGATTGAGAGAAGCAGATTTTTTAGCTGATATGTTTACTTAATTTTAAGTGATCACATAAGTCTATATTATTTTTTCTTTGTTGAAATTGAAAAACAATGCTTAAAGCAGTTTTTGCTAGTGTTAGGGTCTTGTTCTTACCTTGGCTTTCCTAGATAGTTTGGATGTATCACCTGGAATTCAAGTGTTGGAAACTTAATCCTTAAAGTCATGTATTAATGATATTTTGAGGAGGGGCCTTTAGGAGGTCATTAGGATTAGATAAAATCATGAGGGTGTGACCCTCATGATAGCCTTAGTGGCTTCATAAGAAGGCAAAGTGAGACCCCGCTTATTCTATCTCACCATAGATGCCCTACAACATCTCAGAACTCTACAGAGCCTCCATCAGCAAAAAGTTCTTTTCTTTTATAAAGAAAAAAGTTCATAAACTTCTTTTCTTTATAATTTATTTGGACTCATATATTTTGTTATAGCAATAGACAATGGACTATACTACTACCACAAGCTATAGTAGAGGATCTGACTGTTTTGGGTTATCTACTATGTTCCTATTGTTTTGTATGATACATAATTTAATCCTTTTATTAACCCTGCAAGGTACATATTATTTTCTTTATTGTACAGATGAAGAAACTAAGGCTTATGGAAGACAACTGACCTGACTCATGGTCACACCTGAAATTTCACAATAAACCTGGGTTCAAATCCAAGTCATATGGCTTCAAAACCTTTGCCTTTTCTCCCATATTCAACTTCCTTAGATCTAGATTCAAATGCAGTCTTTTCCTCTTTGATGGCTGTGTGATCTTGAGGTGGTCACCTAAGTTTTCTGATCCTGGTTTCTGAGCTGTTAAATGCACAGCAAATTGACATTTCCCAAAGAACCTGTTACAATGTCTGTCACATATATAGTGCTGAATTAA